AAAGTAAGTCTGAGACTGCAATTCTGTAGAGTTAGTTTAACGCTTCCAGCACTTAAAAACTGTATGAGTGCCCCTTGCATATCACGAACTTCGATCGGAATACTGTGAAAATTTTTCCTAATGTTTTTTCTGTACTGGGTAATCGTGAAAAGTTTCGACTCAAAAGTAAGTATGGAGCTCAAAGCATTGTTTTTGATACAATGCATATTATTGAAAGATTGTACAAATTGTGATTTTGTATCACCAACAAACCATACTCCACAATAATTGAATACACTAAAAAAGTATGATTTTACCAATATCTGAGGGATAAGATGGTTCAAAATTGTCCCAGGAAACATGCCGCGCTCCAGATTCTAGACCTGGCATTCTGGCGATTCTGTTGAGAAAACTGTCTGCACAGTCAAAACTATCCGTCCATGTTCTCTACTTTGTTTTTCGTTAAAATTTGCTTCTGATTTCCCTGAGGTCTTGTTAATTTTTTGCTGTAAGAGTTTGCTCGTTGGAAAATTTTTTTCTTCTATAGACTTGTTTATTGCGACAACAAAACATTCAACACTAGGATATAAATTTGGTCAAAACAAAATCTGTTTTAAAATAACCGAGTTAACTGATATTTAACTTTCGTATCCTTGTTTTGTTTTGATTCATGTATACCGAACACAAATAATTCATTTAAGACGACTTTAAATTTAATAGGGCTGGTGATTTTCGTTAGCGGTACTTATCTGTTGCCGCTCAAAAAAAACGTAGTCAGAACACCTGATTAAGTGTAAGTTATTCAGAAAAATGATTTTTTTTATATTGAAAACATTATGGAATTTTCAAAAAAAAATTTCATCAAGTCCAATTTTGTCAGTTTGTTTGCATTTTTTCATCAAAAAAAGGATAAAATATCGTTGACACATTAACGTTAACTTTGGTTTAGTAACTTTCCGGAATAAATTTGTAAAAAATTTTTAAAATTTGTTTCTACTTCTTTTGAAAAAATTTTCAGTTTCTTGAATTATTTTCATCAAAAATTTAAATTAAAAAAAATAATTGTAATTTGGCAACATTTCGTAAAAAAATTGAGATAAAATTTTTTTTCGATGTTTTTCAATTTTTTTAAGTTTTTTTAAAATATCTTTGGTTTTTGAACTAACTCTCACTAAAAGTTTTATGAAACTAACGTTACTTTTCGTTTAGCAAGCTCCTTAGAAAAATAGAAGAAAAAACATTTCAAAATTTCTTCGTGTGTTATCTTATTTAAACATACGTTAAGCAATTTTATAAGAAGAAAATATTCAAGAAAAAAACACTCGTTTTGTGAGTGAGTACGTAATATCTGAAGGTAGTTTAACCCTTTTTTCCGATCGTGTTGATTTGATGTTCTGATCAAAATAATTAACAGTCAATAAATTCAACAACTTAGCTTTTTTGAGCGTGAGATTATTGTCACCACTTTTCATTGTCTGTATTTTCTCCATACACTCCACTTTAATCAATTTTTTTTAATGAATATAAATGGATTTCAATAAGGTAAAAACTTAATTTAATAAAGATTTTTTTCGAGAAATTAGTTTGGCCCAAAAACAAATTCAAGAAGATATTAAAGTTTAAAAATTTGTTGGAAACAGTCCAGATCGAGTGATTCTGGTGTGAATGGCGAGAAACTCTCAGATTATTAAGCCAACCAGTGTGTAATTATGTAACTTAGCTCAAAAGAATTTTTGCATTTCAATTTACCTCGTTAAAACAATCAAACAACCACAGTTAAGATATTGAAGTTTAAACGCTACAAAGAACCTGATAGTTCAGAGATGGCATGTACTTTTAATTACACTAAACTTTTGGTGTTATTTGTAAAGGGCAACTTGCATGAAAAATCTGGACTAAACTTGAAAAATTATTGAACATTTCAAACAATCTACAACAATTAACAACCATTTGGAACGTTCTTGAACAACCTAGAACATTTTGCTTCTGCTCTTTTCCGCACCCTGCTCATCCCCCGGGGTTAAGCTTGTTTTACTACCTAATAGTAGCATTTTAATTCCAATGTGTTTAAACATTTGTAAATCCTGGATCAATAAATTTGATCAAATTTTTTTAATGAAAGTTCAGCTGCAATATCTCAGCTAAAATTTGACTCAGGTTTTCCGAAAAGAGATAGCTACTTCTGTTCAAGTTTTTTTTCAGCTGAATTGTACACCCTTTCTACTGGTAGTAAAAAAAGATAACGAATTGATATACTTGGTGCTTTCATAGAAAATAAAACAAAAAACAACTAAAACTGAAAAACAAAGCAAAGGAAAGTGATCATTCAGACCGCAGAAAAAAGATTTGATCTATCAAATTCAATTTAATCATTTATTTGTTTTCTGCCAAACATAATGAAGAATCATCATCAATTTTTCAAGTGGTTCCTAAAAGTGATCTCCCTCATAGGACGATCTAAGATTTTTTCGAGGGGGGTCGGATTTTTTCGACAATTTTTTCGACAATTTTTTTAGGTCGACCATCTGATCTTCCGAGCCCTCCCAAAGCGCTCAAAAGTCCCTGTTTTGACCAAATTGTCTGCGCCGCAGGTAAAATTAAAAAAAAACACACACCCAGTGGCACGTTTCTAAGCACTTTTTGGAAAATTGTTACCAAAAATTTCCCATTTTTTTCGTCGCTCTCCCCCCTGTAAATCGCCCCCCCCCCCCGCCTTTAGAAAAGTTTTACGGTCCATCAGCCAAAAATTGATATCTCAAAATAGTTCAAAGGGGGCCGTTTGGGTTGGCAGGGATTGGAATCCCTGAGGGCGAAGGGGAACGTCTGCCCTCCCACTTCCCCGTAAACCGGCCCCTGATCTCGTTTTAGATTGCAGAAGCTGGTCAAACCTTGTGTAATACAGGCAGCAAATGAGCTCTGCAGTAAAAATCACACTTTTTTGCAGTCTATGATAAACATCGCATAGTTTTTCTCACCATTTAAAATTGTTGAATTTTTCTACCATATAAATTGTAGCTGAAAGAGTTGAATTACTAATCCCCTCGCTCAGAATTAAAAACTTGATAAATCTACCCATAGCTATCTATCTACCTATCACGTTGAATGTCTCTATTTTGTGAAACTCAGCTGTATCTGGTCGATGAAGCCAGTATTTGTACCTTAAGCTCTTTGGTGCGACAAAGTTTTTGTATAAAAATACCTTTTAATGTCGACGAAAACTAAAAAATATCGACCACTTTTCTCATACCAATTCTTGTCATACTAAATTCTGACAATGAAGTTAATTTTTGATCTGCATTCTTAGTAGTGGTGATACTATTATTAATCATAATAAATTTGTTTAGAGTAGTGCAATAATCCAATAATATAAAGAACTTATCATTGATAGAGCACCAACTTGAGCAAGCGCAGAATGTAATTCAATCTGTTGAAGCGCCGCTGAGAATTTTCTATTAAGTACTGTCTTATATGGACCTGATTGTTTAATCTAAGTAACATTTATACTGAAAAAAGTGAAGAATAAAAATATTTGTAGCTATATGGCTGATGAAGCCGTTATTTGACTCTTCAGAACTTCAACTCGACAATGTTTTACATATAAATATATTTTAATTTCAAAGAAAACAAAATAAAGACATCTGAAACACTGCTAAATCAAGACTTTTAAAAAATTAACATGCTTTCCTTGGACTATTTAAGCATTAAAAAAAATTTTAAGCTTCATAGAAAATGTAAAATTTATCACAATTAAAACTTTCGAAGACATGTTAGGTGCAATAAATATACTTGTGATGATTGAATATTTCACTTAAAGTTTTCAAACAACTGTAGAATTTCTTAGCGTAAACTATTCATCGAAGATTTGATAAAATCATCAGGAATTTTAGAGAAGATGAATTGTTGCCTAAAATTTACGTTACTTATGATTCGGTCATCAAAACTCTTTATAAGCAATACAATAAAAAACTACTAAACGGAGGAATGGGGCGTTGAAATCAAAAAAACCAACAAAAATTTGCTTCTGCGCCCACTGATTCTAAAAAACGTCACCTTGTAACGTTACAATCAAGTAAAGTTTAATCCCTTACGCTTAGCCAAAATTGACAAGTTTGTAAAGTTTTGTACGCTTAGCCAAAATTGTAAAGTTTTTATGGTAAATTGTTTCGGTCTTTGTAATATTCTTCTAATTTTACTTACTGTCGACCAAAAACAGACCTTTAAAAATGATTTGCGTTCCTTAATTGCATTTTTTGTTGAGCATACTGTTTGTTGCACGTTGATCGCCTAGTAAACATTTTCACTAGTAGTTAAGACTTAGAGAAAAATTTGAAGCTTTGAGCGTAAACTAACTAGATACTTCACGTGTGATAAATTTTTTGTAGAATATTATGGCGGTTTGCAATCCACTAGTTTGACTAATTTGGGACAATTAACGCACGATATATTTAAACCTTTTAACGCCTGAGCGCCAATTTGATCCAGCTGAAAAATCGTTCCGAGATGATTTGAGGCAAGCTATTTTGATTTATTAATACGTTTCCAGACGCTTTGTTTTTATCTAGTGTGTAAGAAAAAAAATCAAAAATTGATCAAATGCTTTTTTGTTTTCTACTGAAATTCTATGTATTTTCAAAATTTCAAAAAAGATGACCATTTTCTTGGGTTTCACGGGCAGTCGAAACATACAGGGCTTTGACCTGTTTCGAACAACCAGTTGGAATCAAGAAATATACGGAATCTTCTCTTCGCTGGGCTCTAAAATGGTATTCTCGACTAAGAAATATTTTTTCCATACTGCCCCCCCCCCCTGATTTCTTCTAATGAGTTATCTTACCGCAAACGTCTGCATCAAAATATGATTTTGTTTTTCTTCATCATCATTGTATTTTTGTGTTCTTTCGTTCTTAACATTGATTAACCCTTTCTCATACCAAATACTGACGATTAACTTGTTCTTTTTGATCCGCATTCTTAGAAGTGGTGTAACCAAACTTTATTTAAAACTTTTATAATGTCTCCATCATCACCCATAAAAATTTTATTAAAATGTTCAATAATGGTATTATTGCAACTTGCGAGAGCTGAGCCATATATCTCTCAAAAATAACAAATAACATCGTAAATATGGAGCTGACGCAATTTTTTGGATTTTTTAAATTGCTATAAGTCTTATGGCTGTGACTCTTGATATTTATCATCCCTGGCCAATAATTTATCCATATACATTTTAATAACTTTATCCATATACATTTTTATAAAATATAATTTAATTTATATAACAGGATACATGCTATAACTGGCAATCCCACAATTGTTTTCTCGATTTCTAGCCAGTCTGAAGTAACCATCCATGCCCCAATCTGCTCCCCAAGTGTTTTTCACAATCCAATACTCCTCCCCTGTTTCACTAGTCCCATAACCCACAATCAGCACCGAGTGATTCAGAGCGTCTGGGTCGCAATTCGGTTCGTAAAACACACCGCTCTCATAAAATTGAAAAGCGAAATGCGCCGAATCAATAGCAGCCGAAACTGGCCCTATCAAACCGACAGCTTCTCGTAATTTCTCCTCGTCGCCCTTCGGAATTTTGTCATAACTGGACATCGTTGTAACTATGTCCATGTTTTGGTCCATGCAAGGTTGTGTGTCATCAGCGGTGTATGGATAGTCGTGGTCACTTATGGACCCTCTCTCGATGAGATATTTGAGCGCAAATTCTACGTTTCCCCCAGAACAGTCGGAGTTATCGGTGCAGTCTAACATCTGTTGCGCACTGAGATCTACTAGTTGCCCTAAATAAAAAAAATCAAAAGTAATAGTTTCAAATTTCCAACTAGTCTCCCAGTAGTTAGCAGTGTTCTAATTGAAATTTCATGCAATGCTTACAAACGTAAATCTAGTTGCACTGGCGTGCACTAGAGATTTCAGTGTTAAATGCAGGCGCGGATCTAGGAATTTCTCGAGCAGGGGGATGGATTTTCTGAGCTCTCCCAAACCCCTATAATGACCATTTTGTCTGCGTCGCAGGCTATTTTTTGAAAAAAGTCCAAAAAAGGCGTTTTTAGGCGCTTTTTGGAAAAGTTCGACCAAAAAATCGCGTTTTTTCGGCGTGTGCTCCCCCCTCAAAATTATTATAGATTGGCGTCTAAGAAGAATTTTAAGGTCAGTCAATCAAAAATGGATTTCTTAAAAAAGTACAAAGAGGGGACCCATTGGGTTGGCAGGGGGAAGAATCCATGAGGTGGACGAATCCCCGAAACATTTTGGTCGACCTAAAAAAAAGACTTTTTTCGAAATTTTTTGAAAATCCGCCCCCTTTAGTTCCTTTTTTAGTGCTTTTTCCTGAATTTTTGGCTGGCTTACTTTTAAATTTTTCAAAAGTATTTGTGGCGCCAATATATACTAATTTTAAGGGAGGAGGGTGCGCTGAAAAAAGGCGATTTTTTCGTCAAAAATTTCCAAAAAATGCCTAAAAACAATTTTTTGGCCCTTTTTTGTCTGCGGAGCACAAATTTGGCCAATACAGGGTCTTTTTAGTGCTTTGGGAGAGCTTGGAAAGTCAATGTGGTCGAACTGCAAAAAAGGATCGACAAAATGTTTGAAAAATGTTTGAAAGTCCGCCCCCTCCAGAAAATCGTAGATCGACCCCTGGTTTTACATAAAAAAGACTTATGGGCCCGCGCTTCCCCTCGAATTTTGTGTATATTGGCGTTAAAGGAGCATAATAAACAAAGAAAAGGTTGGTCGGCTGATAATGAGTGTAATAAAGTAGGTCAAAATGATACCTTTCGAAAAGTTTTGCAACCGGATTAAAGGACGGGGACGGGGTTGTCACGCTACTGTGGCTTAAGATCTTGCTTGAGTGAATCAGAACAATCATTTATTTCATAATCTAGAGAAAATAGAGTTTGCTGAAAAATCTCAACTTGGTAACTTGAAGTTTTACAATTTAAAATTGTTTCCAAACAATGTTTTTCTTCAAATTTTGTTAGCTAATAAAAGTAAAAACAAAAAAGATCATGGTTTCTAAATAGTTTCAAGCAAATAATAAATAACTACTTGCCTGTTTTATTGAAATACTGGCCCTCTAAAGCGCCCGCGGCCGAAAACGCCCAACAGCTTCCACAGTGATCCTGATATTTCACGGAAGTAACGTACCCCTTCTCCCTCCAATCTTGCTCCTCAGGCACCTCCCCCTCCCCAACCATCATAGCCTGCCCCTCCCCCGATCCAGAATCATCTGGGATCATCATGGGCAAGATGCGGTGTCCTAGTAGGGTGTCGAGGAACTCCTGTTGAGTGAAGTCGGCGTATTCGTTCATGCCCAGTCGCACTCCGCTGAAAGATTGTTCCGGTTGGTCACCTGACTGGGAGTTGTGCATTTGGACCTGCAACATTCAGACTCTAACTGAGGATGGTTAAAAACCTGGGGCTCGTTTTCCTACCCCCCCCCCACCTCACTCAAACATGAATTTTATGGTCTAACGAGTAGTTTTACGAGGTTAATTATGAAGACCAAATATGTTTGTCATGGCCTAATTAGTCAGCATGTCAATTTTTATGACAATCGGACAAAGTGATTAGTAATTTCAAATATAAAAATTAGCAGGTGGGGTGAAAAGGAAAAAGAGCCAAACCTGGTTATTCGGATAATTGCATTTGTATGTTATAAAAGCTGTTCAATCATTTGTTGCAAGCTGATGTTTATTTGATATGACTTCTAGAAGCATAAATGGTTTTAAAACCTTTGTTTATTGACTAGAGCCTGCCAAAAAATATAGAACATCAGATCTTATGCACTGCAATCCTCCCCCCCCCCCACACACACACGCACACATTTCATTTTTTCATAGTTGTTTTACGAGTAATTATGGCTAAACGCGTGATGTTACAATGTAAAGTATGAAGATCAAAAAAATTGTTAACACTAGTTATTTTGTTCACCATGGAAGTTTTAATTTAGTTATCACAACTTTACAATAGTTTTTAAAAACTGGAATCCAAATGGGAGGGGAGAGTGAAAAAGAGCTATTGTACTTTTGTTAAAAAATTAGGATACCACTCGTGTTGTAAAAGAGTGACTTAAACTAAGAATAGATTAAGACTGTGGATGATTAAGATTCCTACTAAAATTGTAGGCTTTTATTTAAGACTAAATAAAAGACGGGGATTCTATCTAAGTTAAGAGAGGTTTAAAAGATTGAATTGGTTGCGATTGATTTGTTACGTATCATAAAAGATAGTGTCCAATTCAGAGTCTACCAAAAGCCGTTGCGCTTTTGGCAGGTATATAAATTAACAACTTAAAGGTCGATGGTAAGTTAAGATCAGAGGTTAAATAAACAAACCATAATACTTTTACATTCCCCGCGAAATTTTATCTATAATTTATCCCTTTCGCCTCACCAGAAGGGAACAAAACAAAAATGATTAAGCACTAAGATGAATGAATCAGTAGGCGCATTGTCTAGGACCCCCGAGAGTGGATCTAGATTCGTAAGAACACAGATTTGATCAAGGGCCCAAGAGGCGTATCATAAACTAAGTACAATTACACGGTTATCAGGTCGAAAGGGTGGGTGTACAGTACGGGGAAGGCCGGTGATCGGACCCGACGGGCCGGACGGCAAGTTCAACAAACAAAAACAAAATTCCAAAACAAAGCACCTTAGATCGAATAATATGTATTCGTCGGAAGAAATAACTGTAGACTGGTGACTATAGGCAAGCAAGAAACTGAAATAGCACCAGGGTGAATAGAGTCATAAGGTATGCAGGGAGTTATCCTTATAATAAGCGAAATAACTGGGTAGAACCAAAAATGGATAAATCTAATGGTTATCCGGTGGTAGCGCCCCATGGGTTAACAGAACTATAACGAGATTCGGGCTGAATTCTATGGCAAAAGCAAGGGTATAAGTGTTACCAATCATAACTATGGCTTAAAATAACAGCACTAGAGGTTTGTATGACTCTAGGGTCATGGAATGTTAGTAGCATTCAACAATAAACAGGACGTACAGGTACTAAAAGTTTTACAATGGAGTTTTGGTAGATCAAGAATGTTTTTGATAACATCTGTTTTGGAGTTTCTACATCTAATTAGATTCCCGATTTGCTGCTTTATTTATTGTCCATCTCCTTAACTCCTCCAGTGTCATTGGCCGTCCAAGGAGTTCTATCGCCGAAATGATAGAAGAGGTGTTCAGCCAGTCTGGGTCAGGTACGATGGGGACAAATGTGGAAGTTGAAATTTCGTAAGATAGGCCCGATGGGTTAAATCGCGTGGAGCAGACATCAGGGCTAAATTTGACCTTCTTGTCAGGACTCTTTTGATCGTCTGTTTTTAAGGGCTTTGGGTCACTTGGGTACGCATCGTTTTCTTCTCGCAAGTGAACTATAGTAGGCCGTGAAGATGAAGGTGGTGTTAATGTTGTCAGGTCTACTAGGTCGACATGGTGGCTTTCCATTTCTACCGTAGTTGCTTCCAACGTTGAACATACTGAGACTAAACTAGGTGAACCGAATTCTAGGGCATCACGATCTTCCTCAGTTAGATCGACTATATTGGTAAATACTCTCTCGCCTAGCATCTTGGGAGGCTGCCTAGTTCGCATAGGTCTGGTGTTCTGACGTGTAAAAATTTCTGACAGTTTTTTCGAGGGTGGTGATTTCATTGGAGATGACGCTTTCCTTTTAGCAGTACCGGACAATTTCTGTGTCTTCGTAGAACGGTCAGAATGTGTTTGTTTGGGTCCCGTCTCCGCCATGGTGGTTTGTTCTCCAGTAGGTTTAGGGAACTCTCCTCCGGGATTCTCTGGAAGTACCGGCATTTCTTGGATCGCTTCATCGCCCTCCTCCCTAGTGTCCAAGAGAATCAACTGTGGGGTCGCTTGAAAGTCTCTTTCATTGTCACCGGAATCCAAGTCGATCAAAGGAATCTCATCTAACTCGACCTTCTGGTCGGCGTGGTCTGATGATTCTAGCTTAGGATCTGTTCGGTCGGACATTAGGTGTTCGTCTCGTTTCGTAGTTTCGAGTAGTGTTTTCTCCTTGAGGTCTCTTAGTGTCATTAAGTCACTAGCATTATCGTCTGACATCTCATCATGTGGTTCGATCGTCACTCCGGGTTCATTTAGGTAACTTTTAAGAAGTTCGGGTTTGCCCGACGGGCTTGGTTCTTGGTCGCTCTCGAGGCCAATCGGTGTTCTCAGTCTCTTTCTCTGTTCTTCTTCTTCTCTAAGAAGAGTTTCCCTAGAACTGTTCATGGCCGCGTTTCGCCTCGCAATGTCAAGCTCTTCAAATTTCCACTGAAGATTTCGTTTCTTTTGGGTAGTTTTTGAGCTTTTAAATCCGATATTTCTTGGAGGTTTTGCAGTTTTCCTCAATCCTTTAGTCGCATAAAATCTAACTAATTGGTCTCGTTTTCTCGGACTTGGTTTCTTCTGGGTGCACTGTCTTTTAATGGCTAAATCAGATTTACGTATTATTTTACCATTTTTTAGAGTCACAGTGTGATGTGATTCCCTTACGATTTCGTCCTTAAGTACTCTATAGTATGGTTCATTTTTCATTCTATCTTGGATTTTTTGATAAACAATGGTCTTACCCGACGGGTTGTTCAGAATTGAGTCCTTTATGCCCAAGGCATCTCTTTTTTCTGACCGGGAGAGGACTTTTACTGGGGATCCAGCACTTGTTGGTACATATCTCACGGCATTTGAGATATCCTCCGAGGATGATGAATTTTCATCGACATCTCCATCTTCTATGTCGTCAGGGGCATCCCAGTCATGTCTTCGCTCTCGGCTCATTAGTTTTTTGCCTTTATCTATACATAACAAAGTTTTGTTCCAATCAAGGTTATTCGAAGAGGGTGATTTGACCAAATTATGCCAGATAGTGTTTGGGGATCTACCGAAATGTGCTTCGAAAGGAGAGCAGTTAAGCGACTGTTGAGTTACTGTTCTTAAGCATTTTATAATTTTCAGGAGTGCAGATTCTAGTGAAGGTTTTGGACGTTCTTGTGCCATAACCAGGAGTCGTTCCTTAATGATCCTGATTAGGCGTTCCACTAATCCCGTAGCTCTATGATCACCCACTGGGCTAAATATCACCTTTATGTTGTGATCGTGGCAGAATTCTCTAACTTCCTTGGAGATGAAACCAGATCCTTGATCTGTTCTAATTGTTCTAGGTATCCCGTGTAAAGCAATGTATTTACTAAGGAAGTTTATAATAGATTTTGCCGATGTACTGGATGTTATTTGAGCTGATGGGAATTTTGAAAATCTGTCTACACACACCAATATGTATTTTTTTGTTCCCCATACTAAAGGTAACGGACCAGCGAAATCTAATTCCATTTCTTGGTTTGGTTCTTCGACCATTGGGAGTTCCCCTAGGGTATTGTGTTTTATAAGAGGTTTCAAATTTTTACCTGCTTTCACGCACTCTATACAATTTTCGCCGTGGACTTGGATTTCACGGTAAATTTTCGGCCACCAGATGTATTGCGTTGCCAGGCTTTTCATTGCGAACTGGCCGGGGTGGGCTTCGTGTAGTCTGTTCAGCATAGTCGATCTTAGGCATGCTGGGATTACTAAACGGTTGTCCAAATAGAGGCATCCTCCACTGACATGTAAGTTATTCAAATATGACTTATAATAGTTTCCCAGTTGTAGGATATCCTGTTTTCGGTCTTCCTCGATTGCCTTGATTATCTTTTTCAGAATTAGATCTTGTTTCGATAAGAGGGACATAAATTTAGAGTCAAATATTTCCGGCCAAGAGAAAGGGAATAAGTTAACTGTTTTCTTTTTGCTAGGTGATCTATTCTCGGGTTTGTCCGACGGGTTACTAGTATTTGGTGTTAAAACGTCCGTGTTTTCTTTAGTAGTAAGTTCTTTTTGTTGGTTAAATTCAATTTGTTCTGCCATTTCTTTCAGGATTTTAAAATTCGTAAAAAAGTCGTTAGTTTTGCAAGATGAGTCACACAGTTCTGTACGCGAGTGAGAATTTTGACACACTGAAATGTTGGAATGGTTAGATATCGCTTGGAAAGTTTCAGCGGCATTAGCAATTCGTTTCTCACGTTCTATTTCTTGACTGGTCATATGATCTGTTGACTGGCTAATCGCATTGCAAGAAGTGACGTCATGTGCTAAGAAATGTTGAGAAAATTTATTTCTTATTTGCGCCCACGAATTTTTTGGCATAAGGTGATCAAAGCCTAGGAGTGTACTAATCTGGTTTACTGAAGCGATAACAAACTTCTCGTCATCCAGAGAAACTGGTACGGGTTCACCCGATGGGTGTCGGGATATATAATCGACAAATCCCATATCTTTACCGGGTAAGTGTTCTACGGTAAAGTCGAACGGTAATAGTTTATCCGCCCAACGGGTGAGGCGTGATTGGGCCGTTTTAGTGTATTTATCGTCTTTCAGTGCTCCTATTAAGGCTTTGTGATCTGTTAAAATTGAGAATTGTTTACCCAGTAGATAATTTTTGAAATGATCTAGTGCCCAGACTAATCCCAGTAATTCGAGTTCGTTAGTGCTGTATTTTAATTCGGCGATATTCAAAAATCTGCTAGCGAACGCTACGGTCTTCCAATTTCCCCAATGGTCTTGTTCGATTGACGCGCTCAATCCTAAATGTGAGGCGTCGCATTTCACCCGAGTGTTCAGTTTTACATCGAAATGGTGGTTCGTCACCGTATTACAAATTTCGTTCTTGATTTTTTCAAACGCTTCCGTATGTACTGTGGACCACTTAAATGGTTTATTCTTTTGCATAAGTTCTCTGAAGGGTGTTGATAGGGACGCTAGGTTTGGTATGAACTTATTAAATTGGTTAATCGATCCCATTAAGGATCTGATGTCTTTAATACAGTTTGGTTCTTTTAGGTTTCTGATTGCGTCAGATTTATGTATTAATGGTGTCGTCCCTTTTGCGTCGATTCTAAATCCCAACCATTCTATGTTATGAGTTAAAAACGTGCATTTTTCCCATTTTATGGCTAGTCCCTCGTCATCTAGCGTTTTTAACACATTAATGACTAGCTTTTTATGTTCTTCCTCGCTACCTACGGTGGCGATTAGGATGTCGTCAAGATAACAATGAGTATTTGGTAGTTTTTCCGTCAAACGGTCCATTATACGTTGAAATTCATTTGGCATATCGCCTAGTCCATAGAATCCGGTTTTAAAACGGTATGAACCCGTTACTTCTCCCCCCACAATGTTAAAATTACACTGATTACTTGCCTTTTTCGAAAGCGGAATTTGGCTGTAGGCGTATTTTAGGTCTATCGACGAAAACCAGATGTTTCTTTGATCGTGGCCGCTAATAGTGACTGCAACGTTGTCAATTAGTTCGAATAGATTCGGCATTTGATATCTATTGCGAAATATTTGTTTGTTTAGTAGTTTTGAGTTCAACGCTAGTTTTATTGATCCATCCCTTTTTGCTGTAATCACGATAGGGGAAATAAAACAATCTTCAGAGCATCTAGATAGTTTTTCAATGTGTCCGTCACTTAATAATTGGTCGATGCATAGTTTGACTTTGGGGAGAAGATGGATTGGGATACGTTTCCCTTTCACCTGTATCGGTTTTATCGGCTCGTTAAAATAAGTATTAACTACGTAGTTTTTTGATCTACCAGTTCTTTTTATAAGGTCTGGAAAGTGCTTTGATATGTATAATTTAAACTCACGTTGGGATGATGTCTCTTGGTTTTGATCCTGTTGGATGTCGGATGCGAATTTAACTTGATTGACATTTGTCCCGATGGGTGGTACTTTCTTGTTTTCCCGTGAATTTGACCCGTTGGGTGGAGGTTGTTTTTGAAATACTATAATACCCAAATTTGGTAGGATGTCATTTCCTAGTAGATTTCTTTCAGCCCCTTCTGTGATAAAAAGTTTTTGATCATTAGCCTCCCATCCTTTCGATTGGATTTTCACTCGAACTTTTCCAATAATATTGATCGTACTCCCGAAACCCTGGTATGCTTTCTTTGTTATCTCGTCCACAGGTTCTAGCTTTACAAATCTGTCTCGTATCTTCAGTTCGTGTAGTAGGTCTTTTTTCATGAAGGAAACTGGACTTGCAGAGTCAATTTGAATCTCGGTATAGTAGGGGTTGAATTTTCCCAGAGCTACTTTTAGTGTCTTTTTCAATTCTAATCCTTCGTGATTGAATACTGTTCTCACTCCGCGCTCTATTTTGTCTTCTACGGCATTTATTTGGTTATCTGTGTCGATGGATAGAACTAAGAAGTCGTCTAGGTTAACCTCAAATTCGGGATTTTCCTGCGGGTTGGCCCGGATATTTTCGTTTTCTTGGGGTACCCGATTCTGATCGACGATGTTAGTTTGAGTTTTTGCTGAACTCCTACAGTGTTTAGCAAAATGTCCTTTCCGTCCGCACGTATTGCAGTTTCTATCTCTAGCCGGGCATGTGGATAGGTGTCCTTTTTTGAATTGCTGACCGCAATTACGGCACTTGTTATTTTCGACTATGTTTAATGTTGGTTCGTTCTTCACGTATTGTGATCTTGGTCCTGGGTTGTAAGTTGGGAATTTTAGATACTGTTGATGAATTTTAGTACCTTTTTCGTGAACTAATACGTAAGATAGTACGTTTTCTGGGGTCAAGTATTCAATGCATAGTTTCTTTTGGATCTCGACATTTCTCATGTTGGTTATGAAAATGTCTCTTACTAGTTCTGACTCGAGTTCCCCCAGTTTACAATTTTTTGCTAGTTCTGAAAGAATTTCATGGAATTTTTCTAAGGACTCATGTTCTTTCTGTCTTCGGCCAAAAAATTTAAATCTTTCGTATGTTAGGTTTGTAGTGATCGTGAAAGTCGTTTTTAATAGTTCCCAAAATTCTGCGAAATTAACATCCAGAATTTTTTTTCCAGGATTTTTATGAGAAAAGCATTTCTGTCCTTCTTTCCCGAGTGCTAGGTATAGCTGTGATTTGAGCTTCTTGTCAATATCTCCTATTTGAAGTCCGTTGAATTTTGCGTTATCTTCCGCCCTTCTCCTTTTTAATTCTTCGTTGTAATTTTGTACTGCTACTCTATGACGTTCCTCTTTTTCGGCCCGACGGGTCTGATCCTCGGATGGGTCCAGTGGTTCTGCCATAGGGTAGATTAGTTCATCTCTTATCGGTGGGTTAATTACATCTTCGATGTCTACGGAGTCTTTCGCAATAATTGTCAGTTGGAATTTTTCCGCCCACCTTTCCCAGTCATGTTGATTTTCGTATGATGAGTTGTTCCAAAAAAACTCTAGTCCGCGTAGGTTTGATTCATTCGACTGCGCCATGTTAAAAAATTAGGATACCACTCGTGTTGTAAAAGAGTGACTTAAACTAAGAATAGATTAAGACTGTGGATGATTAAGATTCCTACTAAAATTGTAGGCTTTTATTTAAGACTAAATAAAAGACGGGGATTCTATCTAAGTTAAGAGAGGTTTAAAAGATTGAATTGGTTGCGATTGATTTGTTACGTATCATAAAAGATAGTGTCCAATTCAGAGTCTACCAAAAGCCGTTGCGCTTTTGGCAGGTATATAAATTAACAACTTAAAGGTCGATGGTAAGTTAAGATCAGAGGTTAAATAAACAAACCATAATACTTTTACAACTTTAACTTGTTGTCTTTGGCTGTCAGAAACTGAAAATTAAGGACATGCGTTGGCCTCTTTGCAACCACGTGCTATATTTCTCATGATTTCAAACCATTTTGACCACCTATGCTTTTCGCTTTACCAAGAGATTACCCACTAAGGCGACGAAGACAAAAACTGACAAATATTGCCCAATCATTATTCTGCAGCAGCTTTATATAAGGTCGTGAATTAGTTTTCTGTTTCCTGATTTGCTTTTCGAGGATATCTCAGGTAATTTGACTTCCCGGGAAAACTCAATTATTGTAATAGCTTCGGTATGGCTCATTTCCAGGTTCATTACTGGTAGGTTTAGATATCTCGAAATCAGCTCTTTTCCAGTTTCCCACCCCGGCTCTTTTTCCTTTTCCCCCCACCTGCAAATTTTTACATGTAAATTTGTTGACCACATTGTCAGATTATTATGAAAATTTACACACAGACTAATAAGGGCACGACAAACGTATTTGGTCTTCATACTCAACCTCGTAAAACCTCTCGTTCTCTCGTACAATAATATATTGAAGGTCGTGTGAGGTGGGGGGGAAAAGGAAAAAGAGCCGATTGTTCACACGACATTTTGCATGTAGTAGGAAATGTTCCAAAAAAATTTTTTTGGGGGGGGAGGGGAGGGGGGATGATGGGGAGGTGCACGAAAAGATTAAAAGTTTTTGGTTTCATCACTCTGGTTTGTTCATCTTTTTGGTTTCATGATAATTTTTAAGGTAAAATTTCATGGAAAGATTTCAAATTTTTATAGTGAATGTTCCGTAAGTTTGTGATACTATCAATTAAATGCTATAGATTTATATTCTACATTTTTGCTGTATTTGACACAGGGGCGGATTTAGGAGGGGGGGTTCGGACGCTTATCAGGGATTTGACCCCATGCCGACCCAAAGGGTTCTTTTTCCCCCTCTGTACTATTTTGAGATATCCATTTTTGGCTGACTGACCCTAAAAGTTTTCTAAAAGCGCCTCTGGCGCCAATATATTATATTTCAGAGAGGAGCGCGCGCCAAAAAACGCGATTTTTTGGTCAAAATTTTCCAAAAAGTGTAAAAACGCCCTTTTTAGCCTGTTTTTTCAAAATTTTACCTGCGGCGCAGAAATTTTTGGCACAAACAGGGAGGGTCTTTGTACTGCTTTGGCAGAGCTCAGGAAATTCAATTTGGTCTAGACCTAAAAAAATGGTCGATATCTAAATTTTTTTTTGAAAATCCGCCCCCCTTCGAGAAAATCCTAGATCCGCCTCTGATTTGACAATAATAATAATAATCATAATAAGATGATTACCCTTGAACTTTTAAAGATACTTTCAACTGACAAATTTAGTGTTTTTTTTAAGATCTGTCAAAGAGCCATCCCGTTGTCCATATAAGTATATAAGCTTAGTACTGACGTCATCAATAACAGTGACTCATATAGATCCACAGATTAGTCTATCTATATACATGACTATGGCGCTGGTGTGCTTTGACAAATTGCGGGCCCAGCTGGAGCAGCACAAGTGTCAGATGGAGTACCACCAGACAGAGGCAGAACAGAACAAGTGTCTCATGCAACAACATGCCGCTCAGATGGAAGCCCACAGGCACAAATCACTGCTCCCTTCCAAACCAACCATCTTCAGGACCAAACAATGGTTGCTTGTTTCGCTCTATGTTTTCTCGGCTCTTTTTCAATCCTTTTTTTTCTTCAAAATTTGTTTTTGGAAAGCCTGATTAAAACCTATGGTGTTGGTGTTCTAAACTCACTTTTAGTGTTCTAATTCGGTTTTTGAAGGAAAAATCAAGGGGAAATCAAATTGAGGGGGTGGGAGGGAAAATCATTTTTACAGTGAAACAAACGAGTGGTCTTACCAGGTTGAATATGCGGCTCTTTTCCAGTTACCCCCCCCCCTTTCAAAATACCGAGTAATATGTTTGTTTTACGTGTTATTACGGCTAAATGCATGATGTTACGCTTTAAAATATGAAGAACAAATGTGTTCAGAATTGTCGATTTGTTCACCACACAAAATTTCATTGTTTTATGACTATATTAAATAGGCTTTTCAAAATTGCAATTCAAAGGGGGGGGGACTGGAAAAGAGCCGAATATGCTGACCAAATAGACCTGTAATGGCCTAATTAGTCCACAATCCCATTTTTTTAAGAATTGGAGGCTCTATTCTACTCCCCGCATTTCAACATTATATTTTCATATTTGTTATACGTGTTATCATGGCTAAATTCGTTTTTTTTTACGCTGTAACGTTTGAAGAGTTATTTTGAAGAGTTAACGTTCGAAAAGATATTTTGGCTCTTTTCCACTTTCCCCCCACCTTTCAAAATACCGAGTTTTATGTTTGTTTTACGTGTTATTACGGCTAAATGCGTGACGTTACGCTGTAATGTATGAAGAACAAATCTGTTCATAATTGTCAATTTGTTCACCATGCCAATTTTCATTGCATTATGACAACGTTAAATAAGGTTTTCAAAAATTAATTTGAAGGGGGGGGGGGGGGGGGAACTGGAAAAGAGCCGATATTTTGAAGTTTGAGGGAGTGTGGAAAATATTCAATGCTTTGTGACAATCCTAAAATAGTTTTTCAAATTTGACTTTCAAACTTGTAGAAGGGGGTCTAGAAAAAAAGCCCAAATGCACAAATTGAGCAATAATTTACAAGTTAAAAAATTGCAGGTAAGATAAAATTGAGAAAAAAAAGAACGCTGTTTTTTTACAGTCAACTCACTATCGATAAAAATCAATTTTGCGTGTGACCCATTACTTTTACAAGGTTATATAAGAAAATCACATTTGTTAAAAATGGCTTATTACAATTTTTTGTTCCAACTTTCGTAATGAAAGTAGCGGGCTCTTTTCCATTTCCCCCTTTTTCAAAACACCGAGTTTTTTGTTTGTCTTACGTGTTATTACGGCTAAATGCATGATGTTACGCTGTAAAGTATGAAGAACCAATCTGTTCATAGTTGTCGATTTGTTCAACACGCAAAATTTCATTACATTATGACAACGTTAATAGACTTTTTAAAACCGAATTTGAAAGGGGGGAAACTGGAAAAGAGCCAAGTAACGGAATATTTGTGCACGGTGTGGGTTTTTTTTCTTCAGACAAATTTTGACTTTTTAACTAGCCAATCATTACGAGGCCAAATTGTGCATTCTCTGCCTTGTTAGCGGAAACCGCAACAGACCAAAATCAGATTTGTCGCGGAATCCGCAACATTGCTACTTTTTTTGATCTTCTATGCTGTTTTGGATTCCACAAACAAATACCTAAATCATTGTACCGCTCAAAATCGCTCGAAAAAAGGTGAAATTGTAGAATCCGCAACTGTAATTGCGGAATCCAGAATAGTTTGTGGAATCCACAAACAAATGATAAAACATTTGTAGCGTTCAATTGAGCTGTTGCGGAATCCGCAACTGTAAGTGGAATCCGCAAATTGTAAGTGGAATCCGCAAATTGTAAGTGGAATCCGCATTTTGTTTGCGGATTCAACTCACATATATTTATATGTGTAGTAGCCTTTAAAATTATACCTTTTAAATACATGATTTGATTTCACTAAAAAAAGAAATTTACTAGAATAGATCAGTGTTTGGAATTAATTGAATCCCAATTACTGACCAGTATTTGGGATCGATGAAATCCAAATACTGAACTAATTTGACGATTTGCTATGCGTTGGGTTTCTAAACACTCTCAATTTAATGACTTCAAATATTGGATGTATTCCATATTTATTCTACATTATTCCAGTTTTTGGCATTTAATCAATCCCAAATACTGGTCAGTATTTGGGATTGATTGAATGCCAAAAACTGAACTAATTTGACGATTTGTTTTGCGTTGGGTTTCAAATCCTTCTCAACCTAATGCATTGCTAGAGATAAGAATTCCAGCTCAGCTTTTAATTGTGCATATGCAAATTCAGTATTGAACAAAATTCGGAATCCACTTACAGTTTGCGGAATCCACTTACATTTGCGGATTTCGCTTAAATTTTGCGGAGTCCACTTACAGGTGCGGAATCCAGAACAACCAGCTATATTTGCTTGTTGCGGAATCGGCAACAAAACAAATGTGCCGACAAAATTTACGTTACAGCTATCGTTGCGGAATCCACTGAAGTTTTGTTTGTTGAATCCTTTTACATTTTGGAACATATTTTAAGACTTGTCTCTGGAATTCAGGAACATACAGACACAAAATGGTGCTCCTATCCAGTGCAATGTTTAGCCTCGTAATAATTTTGACGAAATTTTTTAAAAATCATTCGAGAGGTAATGTTGTCCTGAGCTTAACTTTGATCATTTTTTGTAAAATTATGGGGGTTTGAATAACTTTACAAAAAATATCTTCGGGCTAATTTGGGCCAATTAACGCGGGATATAATTCGCGCAAGTAACGCGCAAGCAAAGATTTAATCCGTCTTAGAAATCATTCCAAATTGGTTGAAGGACTCTTATTTGCCAGAATTGATTTGTTAATAGGAGCGAGGTTCATCAGTTTGTACTTTATATGGCGTGTGGGGCGATGAATTTCACAAAAAAAATGTCAAATTAATAAAAAATAAAAAGTTTTAATTTTATTTAATTTTTCATGGAATTACTGCGCCATAGACCTTAGGAGGCAGTCGGAACATTCAGGGCCTTGCCCTGATACGAGCAGTCTTGTTTCATTTTTCTAAACAATCGGCTGCTCTTTCTGAGTTTGCGCATTATATAATCATAAGTCATAATGAACTGTGATTTATGAAGTACTGTGATAAGAAGTTATGAAGTTGTAATGAAATGTGATAACAAGTTATGAAATTTTTTGAAGCTATGAAGATCTCGATTGAAAACGGGAAGCAATTTTGTTATCGGATGTTTTAGTTTTTTTTTGTTTTCCACGCAAAATCAGCTGCCACAAATAATCATCGGAAAGGGTCAAAAAAATATCTTTTCGAAACTCTTTCAGTCGTGATTTACTGTGTGTCGAACAACCACCAGGCTTCATCTCCTTGTTCCCATCATATAAAAAATGCGGAGGGACTTTGTATTCGGGTGTGTTTTAGTGTTTTTCCATTTTTTAAACGCAAAATCAGGTACCACAAAAATCACTGGAATGGTTCGAGTGATATATCATATAATATATCGCCGTCTCTCAGTCATGATTCGAGAAAAAAAAACTGGAGTCGAGAAGAATCAGCTTAAAATGTTTGAGTTTTTGTCGTAATTCGAGCAAGGAAAGCGATCGAGTAACGTTTTTTATATAAAAATGATGACTTATTTGACTAAAACAATTTTTTAAATAAAAATAAAACCAATTTTGGAAATATCACTAAACACTTTCTCGGTAAATTTAATTTTCATACAAAATTAAATATTTTTATGCCAACAACTAGGAAAAGATTTATATTTCTTTTTTACGTTCTTTAATTTTTTTTATATTTTTTTTTTGAAGACACAGGCAGTGTTTTATGCCTAAATCACGAATTTTTGATGCGTTTGTAAAGCTCTGTAATCGCCCCAGCAGAAGAAACGACGCTAATTTGAAGATAATTTTTTTTTGTAGTTTTTTTACGAAGTTACTTGCACAGCAACCGGCTTTCCTTGTTTGATTGAGTCTTCAACCATAAAGTTTATTTAACAATTTTACATACGCTGTACTTACTTGTTATTTGAATTGAACCACCTAGATATTTGATAGATTTTAATAAGAATCGAGAAAATTATGTGATGTCAAACAAATACATCTTGATGAAAATTTTTTAGAGATTTTTAAAACGTAACTTTGTTTCTGCTAATTTTTCATTAAACTGTTCGTTCTCTTTTTGTGATTGCTCAAAAAATACCCTGCGGATTGCTTAAGCCATGAAATACATATTTGATCTACAGGCTAAACCTGTAAAATACTCGATAAAGAATATAATTGATGTTCTTGTGAGATGAGGGAAGGGGTAGGAGAGAGCCATGAAATGTATTAAAAATTGTAACGTAAAAACAAGTAAAAATAATCCAGTTTTAGAAACTTCATTCAGTCTTTTCTCGGTCATACTACTTTTTATACAAGTTTAAGTATTGTTGTGCAAAAAACTAGGAACAATTATAGGTTTCTTTATTTATTTTTGAACATTTTTCTTTTATTTATTTTGTGAAGATAGTTTAGTGTCTTATGCCTATTTAATTAAGTTTCTAATCGTTTGAATAGTTCTGTAATCACCCAAGCAGAAGAAACGACGCTAATTGAAGCTAATTTTTTGTAGTTTTTTACAAATGTAGCTGGAACATTTTGTGATACTTGCAAAGCAAGCGGTTTTCCTTGTTTGATTGAGTTTTTGACCATAAAGTTTTAGTTTTTTACATATGTAGCTGGAAAATTTTGCGATACTTGCACAGGAAGCGGTTTTCCTTGTTTGATTGAGTTTTTGACCATAGAATTTTGTTAAACACTTAAACGCCCACAAACGCTGAAGTTTGTTGGTATTTTACCCACCAAGCTATTTGATAGAAATTGGTAAAATTAAAAAAATTTTAATTGAGTATAAACAAATTTATCATATTGAAACATTTTCAGTGGTTAATAAAACGTTTTTT